TGAGCATGAGTGTTGAATAAATCCTAGTAGCATGAATGACATTCATTTTTTGTGAAAAAGGGATTTCGTTTGAAGTAAGGGCACTAGTTACATTGTCGAAAAGTTGGTACCTTGGTGACAGTGAGAAGGTGTATGTTGTGTGTCAGTTGGTCGATCTGTGTCATGGTTTGATCTGCATGGATTAGCTTGTCGAGTCTAAGAGAACGAAGTTGCACCTGAAAAGTGAGGGGGGTAGAGAGCCATGTGATTGCTTGGGCCTGAAATGCTTGATTCTATACAAGTGTCGTTTAGAGTCGTAGTGCGTCGCTTAAGGACAAACAACAAATTTAGTTGAGGGTGTTGATATACCGTGAGTTTACGGTATTTCTAATACATTTCACTTACAAGTTGTGTGTGTCTAAGGCCTTTTTGTATTGGTTTTTATGTGTTTTTATCGTATTTTGCAGGAAAGATGTTCAGGCGCGGAAGTATAGAGATAGCTGAAAGAAATGCAGAAAAAGGGCATTCACGGAGGTGATCTACGGACCGTAGGTCCATTGACGGTCCGTAGGTGATGACCGTAGATGAGCAGGCAAGGTATGGAAGACAAATCAGGGAAATCTGACCAAGTGTGGAACCACGATGGCCATGATCTACGGACCGTACTGATTAATCCGTAGATTGATACTGCGAGGGTTCCAGTACCTGATTTTTGAAGATTCTAAGTGTGGAGCTACGGAGGGGATTGACGGACCGTAGATCGATCTACGGTCCATACTTCAAGTCCGTTGTTTGCTTCAGAGAAGCTGATTTTTGGAAGCTGAAATATTTTCTAAGTCCTGGCTGACGGAAGGGACTTACGGACCGTAGATCCATCGACGGTCCGTAAGTCAATCTCGTGGAATGAAGACGCGTGCCTGAACAAACTTTCCTTAATTTGCTTCCCTTTTAATTTAGGATTTGTTTTCTATAAATAGGGCATGTAAACCTCGTTTTTAGGGGTTAGACATTATTATTCTAGTTTTACTTTGTGACTTTGGAGATTAATTTGCAACTCTAACAATTATTGATTTCCTAAGTTCGTTTTAAAGATTTTGGCTTTGCAATTCAAGTTGAATTTCTGGATTTATTATTCTCTTTACATAAGTTCATGATTTCTTCATCTAAAATTATGAATTGTGTTCTTGCTAATATGGGTAACTAAATCCACAACAAGGGTTGTGGGAACCATGAATGATTAACAAAGTATGAATAGTAAATAAGCAATTCTGGAATAGTGTTTTGTGTGTATTGGTAATTCTTTCGTTTAGAAGTCTTTTTAACGGTGGCCAACGTTAGAACTTGCCTCGTTACTACATGCCGGACCAAGGAGGTAATTAACGAGAAAAGAATTATCAACATAGATTTAGTGTGATACTATTTAATAGTCTAGTGTCGATTGGTGCGAAGTAATAACTAAGCCAAACATCGATTATGATGGCTAATATGAGGTATAGGTAAGGGTTAGTAAATTATACACACGTAGCCGGACCAAGGTGCGGGGTGAAATTCTCTAGATGTCAGACCAAGGATTTAGAGATACATAACTTACCACTTTGCATGTGATATACTAGGAAAGAATTGCTATTACTAGGATTACTGCGTTATGAGCCTGTGGGGAACACGTATACCCTAGTTATTTCTCTCATCTTGATAACAACCAAAAATTGAGTTTTGATTACTGATTACTTATTAACTTCTTACTATTTGTTTCACACAAACAAAACCCCCCTTTTTATTACCTGTTTATGGAAGTAATTTGACTAATTGAATATAATTGTTGGTTAAAGTAAAGTCTAAACCATTTTCCTCGTGGGATCGACCCCAACCTACAAGTTGGGTTCTTTACTTGATAACAATCGCTTATACTTCTGTAGGGAGGTGTAATTTGAGCGTATCAACATGTAACAAAAAGAAGTACATGAAGGTGAGATATATTTCATTCTCAAGTCTTTCTTTTTATTTTTATGTACTTAGACATGCTTTCTTAATTATTTATGTTCGTATTATCATTCATCAAGCAAGTATGATTAAAAAAAATATCATTGTAATTCTGGAACTTCTAATAGTCAGTTTTTCGGATATAATATAGTTTGATAATAATATTTGTTAGATTTCAAGAAATGATTATTATTTAGTATTGTTAGTACTATTGAAAAAATAATATACAAATATATTACGTATAGTTTAAATTTCTTTCTTTCTTTCTTTTGATAAAATTATTTTTAATTAGTATATGATATTTTATTTATTCATTTTTTTATTCAATTGGTTGCATATGATGAAGAGTTTGACATATGGAGCAAAATATGATGACGGGTCTACTTGCAAAGGAAGATGATAGAAGGAGAAAAAATGAAGCATAATTAGAGATTTTTTTTGCTAGAGTTTTTTTTTACTTTGACTTGTATTAGCAACTTAGTTACTTTGCTAGAATTTTTAAAATTTTGATTTGTATAAATAATTTAGCTAAATGTATTGTCAATGCTAATCATTTGATCCTTTACTATTCTACTTTTTTCTTTGTTATGAAGCACAATCAATATAATTATCCTATTTCAACAACAACAAAAAATTTATGATGATTAAAAGTTTCATTTTTATTATACTTTCAAAAAAGTAATTGAAAAATAAAATATTAGTTTCATGGTGCCATTTTTTTTTTGCGTGTGTAACAATATGTTTTTGTCACCGTTTTTTTTTGTTTGAAATGTATTTATAATTTTTATGCAGTCATCAATTATTATTATTAATATTTTGTTCATTTTTTGTATTTTTACCCGTTATTTTCATTTATTTATTTTACAAGTAAAATCAATGCATAATTGTTAATACATTTAATGTCCAATAAAATTATATATTGAATTATTTATAACTCATGTCTCTTCATCTTACTTGTAACTTCTAATATTAAATATTATTTATAACTTTTGTATATTTCATTTTTCATAATTCATATATATATTTAATCAATGTTTAAAAAATTATAATAAACAAATGTAATAGTAAAGACGTAGTAAAATAAAATTACAAAGAATTTGTATAGAAAATTAGTACTCCTACAAAAGATAGAGGAAATTAAAACATATAAAATATTTTTAACGTAATACAATATATTGTTATTTCAACATATTACCTCTTATCCATTTACTCCACCAGAATATTTTATTCTACTATATACATATGAATAGTTTGCACATAAAAAAATGTAAAAAAAATAAAATAAAAATCTATTTTATATGTTTAAAAAAAACAAAAAAAACGTATGATATCGCATATGAAGAGAAATATCAATATTATCTTATATATTCAATACTAACCTAATTATAAATTTTACATATTATTATCTTTTAAACAAATCATATAGCCGCGCGAAGCACGGATAATTTCACTAGTTTAATCATAATTAACATTCTTATTATGGTGTTCAAAATCGAACCGTAACCGATAAGCCAACCGCAAAATTGACTTATTGGAATATTGATATTGGGTTATCAAATAAACAGTTGGTGAACGGATTATAATGTTATAATTAACGACTTATTGGTGTGGGGGTGGATTATTCAATTTCCTTAACGGATAAACCGTGAATCTGTTAAGAGTTAACATATGTACACTTTTAACTTAGGTATATTAACATCATTTAATATTGAGCAAATTTTAAGAATAACAAACATAAAAATCATATTAGCGCTTTATAACTACAATTTTGCTAGTTTGCTATAGAGCATTTGATTTGTATAAATCGCAAGATCTGACTCGCAAGCATCTGATTTGTATAAAATCACAGCGATTGTATGTGTATATCAATTAGATAATTGTATATATGTAACTACTGTGTATACGTATCAATGTTTGTGTTTGTATATTTGCATAAAATTTGAATTTATATAGAATGAATAGAATTAAAACACCTATTTGTATATCAAATCTCTCTCTCGCTTTATACAAACCCAAATTATATAATTATACGTGTATAGGACGAAGAAATATGTATTTGTATTGTATATACAATTCTCTCTTACTTTATACAAACACAAATACAATTTATACATTCGTGTTTCTATAAAGTGAGAAAGGTGAGCAGAGAGTGGCAAGCGAGATTCAGGGAGAAATGCGAATTACAAAGTGTTTGCTACGAATTAGCATTAAATAATACTCCCTCCATTTCATATTAATTGAATTTCTGAGGTGTTTCACACCCTTTAAGAAAAGTAGATTAAGACATAAATTGAACATAGTTTTCCATTTTTACCCTTATTAATTATTGTCAAATTTATTGAAATCATCACATTGAAGATCCAAATGAAGGGTAAAATTGGAAGAATATTTTAAAAATAGTCTTGAAGATTGAACAATTAAGTTAATTTGAAAAATAAAAAATACCTTAAAAATTCCATTAATATGGAATAGAGGGAGTACTATAGCTTTAACATTTATTTTGAATTAATAATTTGCTATAATGCATAATTTTCTCATTAATATTTTCCCATAATATATAATTATATATTATTAGTCCTAAGGCCTTATAGCTAAAAACTTAAGAACCTATTGACTATCACATTACTAATTTGATTTAAAGAAAAAACTATTATATTACTATCAATCTTTGAAATATAGAAGAATTTTATAATTTAACTTCATTTAAAATACGAAAAAGAAGTCATTTTTTGAAGTTGCGTTCATGGAGAAAAAAAAGGTAGAGATTAGCCAATACACCATTCGATAACCGTCCGATAAGTGCTAATTCATTATCGAATCAATCGATATTTTAAATATTGGCTAGTGGATTAATAAATTTAAAATCGATATCCATTAAGCCAAATTATTCATTCAATCTTATTGTACATTAAAAACTGTCTCAATCAAGTAAAATATATTAAAAATCAAAATAAATATAATTTCTTATTAATAAGGTGAAATATATTAAGAATCAAAAAAGAATTATGATCTATTTAAGAAGTGGAGCAATCTAGCGCCCTTCTCCTTCCGCACTGACTGTCTTTTCCCTCCATTTGATTGTCACGTCTGCGGCGGTTTTCCTGGGACTAGGGTAAAGGGAGGAGGATATTAATATAACAAAACTCGACAGTGAATGAATGAGCTTACCTATGCCCATAGATAAGATATCTTTGTCGGGATTGCTCGAAATTGAAGGGGCTTTTAGGGTTTCGGTTAAACATTGGTAAGTCACTTTGCACCGAATTAGAAAATAGGGTTTGAAGTCGACTCTTTTGAGTAGAGTTGTTACTTCGTTTGCTTTCCAGTATTTCCTTTTCAATGTTGGTATGACCTTGGTGAATGGGCATGTCTGCAAACACCGCACAGGGTTGCCGGTTTAATTATGCATTGCTTTTATTTCTAGATGTTAGTAAGCATGGTTGCCATCATCTAGGACACATACATTCTAAATTTTTTTGTTTGTTTGTTTTGCCTTTTTACTTTTTCTAATTCTCGGAATTATGATTAGCTTAAATTAATTTTAGGGTATTTAATTCTTGGAATATTCTCATATCTTTGGTCTGTTATGCATTATGCCTATTAGCTTTTACTGCCATATTATTTTAGTTGTTGCTACTCCATTATTAATTTCATTATTTTAACTAAAAATTAAGCCATTTAATGTATTTTGCATTTCAGTTCAAGCTGTGCATCTTCGTGGAAGCAGTCATTATAGGATCCTCAAGGGCTGAATCCGTGTGGTAAAAGTAGAGGCCTTGACAGAAAGAGGAAGCAGGTCTGTGAGTGGAGACAGTTATGGCTTTGGTAGAAGCAGTTAAAGCAGAGCCTCTAGCGGTTCTAGATAAGGATGAGGAAGTTGAATTTGTCTGGGGTAGAAAGAGAGGTATTGGTGGTAAGAGAAAGGAGGTGCAGTTTTATGAATCTTTTACCTATGATGGTGTGGAGTATGCTTTATATGACTGTGTATACATGCACAAGGAAGGTGAACTTCCTTACATTGGTAAGATCATAAAGATATGGGAAAATCCAGACAAGTCTAGGAAGATAAAGATCCACTGGTTTTTTCGGTCGACAGAGATCTTGTATCACCTGAAAGATGTAAAGGTAGCTGAGAATGAAGTATTTCTTGCCTCTGGTGAAGGCACAGGTTTGGCCAATGTTAATCCTTTGGTGAGCGTCATAAAACTGCTTTATCTCATTGTGTTTTCTTTCTGTCTGCTTTTACCTTATATTAAAATAGAAATTAACTATGTAGAGTTACTTAAACCATATTGTTTTATGTATAGCAGAAACTATCTTTTAACCAACTGCTTATGGTTAGAGGAGTTCAATTTATGTCCACATCTAATGCAATATATATCTATTTATTGTCCACCTCGTCAATGTTAGTAAAACTCACTCAGTTCTTGTGGAGACACTTCTGCTTATTTCTACTTGGTTTAGGTGGATCTTCAAGGGAAGATGGGCTTCTTATTGAGGTGATACAACACAAATTAACTTGAAACATATGTTATTATTGCCATCTTTCTAACTTACATAGTGGCTAATGTGGTGGAAGATGAACAACCAAAAGGAAGTCTGAGATGATTTATTACTTGCTGATGATGACAAAGCAGATGAACCTGTAACAATAAGTACTTCTCTATGAAGTTTGTCTAAAATGAGAGATGGGAGAAGCTAGCAGATTGATCTCTCCTATATTCCTACGGAATGCTAATTCTGTCCCTCCTTGTTGCCTGCCTGTCTGCCTTTTTACGTAATTTATCCTCTTTATTGAAAGGCTACCTCTTTCTAAATGATTTTTTGTTTGGGAAGTTCTTCTCGACCCAAGAAAAGGAAGAAAAACTGGAATGATAAGGTGGGTGGGTGTTGGTTTGAATAGGCAAGGGGCTTCTGAAAGTTAAATATAGGATGAAAGGAGTAATTTTTTTAGAAACAAGTTGCTTCTTTTGCATGATTAGTGCAAAAGCATCAATGGCAGCCAAGTTGCCTAATTGTGATGGGAAATCATTGTTGAAAGTATGGGAGTCGAAAAAATGAATGAAAGGAAAATGGAAGGGGAAAAAAGAAACTTAGAAAGAAAAGCAGGCGAGGGGTTTTATTAGGTTTTGGAACAAAGACAAGAATAGAATTGATTCCTCTTTGCTTTATGATCTGGCTGGAGCTTTTCTTTTTACCATAAGGGTGGGGTCTAATTAGGTTTGGGAACAAACTTACAAACAATAATTCAATAAATTTCTCTTTGTTGAGATCATGTCAGAGTTTTTTTTTTGCCACAAGGGCATTGAAGGTTTTGGTAAGCACCTGGAGGCCACCTTTTGTGATGATGAACTGCCCCAGAATAAGTCAAGAGGAGCAAGAATGGATGCAGAGACCATTCTCAGAAGAGGAAGTGGTACACATCCTCAAATTGTGTGATGGGGATAAAGCTCTGGCCCAGATGGTTTCACTATGTGTTTCTTCAAGGAATGCTGGGAGATCATAAAGGATGATGTGATGCAAACAATTCATAACTTCCACCAGAATGAAGTGTTTGAAAGATCCTTGAATGCCACCTTTGTGGCATTAATCCCTAAGAAGTATGGAGCAGAGGAACTCAAGGATTTTAGGCCAATAAGTCTGATTGGTGGAATGTACAAAATCATCGCTAAGTTGATCACTGAAAGAATGAAAACAGTTATGGGGAGACTGATTAACGAGCATCAAATGGCTTTTTTGAAGGATAGACAGATAATGAATGCTTCTTTATTGGCTAATGAGTTGGTCGACTCCAGGGTAAAGCAAAAGATACCAGGTATTCTATGCAAATTGGACATAGAGAAGGCATACGACCATGTAAATTGGAACTACCTATTTAAAGTTCTGAGTGACATGGGGTTTGGGAGGAAATGGGTGAATTGGATCAAGTTTTGTGTGTCAACAGTGAAATTCTCAATCATTATAAATGGGAGTCCAGAAGGTTTCTTTCAATCACAAAGGGGACTGAGACAAGGAGATCCCATGTCCCCTTTCTTGTTCCTTCTAGCAATGGAGGGACTCAACTACATGGTTAGAAAGGCTAATGAATTGGGGTGGATAAGAGGCTTTGGTGCATATACTAACAGAGCTAATAACATGGAGATTACACATCTACTGTATGCAGATGATTCTCTTGTGTTCTGTGGTGCAGAAGTGTCGCAAATTAGGCATCTGAGGGCAATACTAACCATATTTGAAGCCATCTCAGGTCTACATGTGAACTGGCAGAAGAGTTGCCTGTTCCCAGTTAATCAAGTCAATAATATGCAAGGCCTAGTCGACAACCTGGGCTGCCAAGTGGCCTCTCTTCCCACCAAATATTTGGGGATGCCCTTGGGAGCCAAGAACAAAGAATTGGAAGAATGGAGTGAAGTCTTGGAGAGAAGTGAAAGGAAGCTGACAAGGTGGAAGAGTCAATATTTATCTCTGGGAGGTAGAGTGACTCTCATAAAATCAGTTCTGGATGCCCTCCCAACTTATATGCTAAGTCTTTTTCCACTACCAAAAAGTATTGGAAAGAAACTCAACAAGTTGAGAAGGGTGTTCTTCTGGCAAGGGAACAAAGAGAAGCAAGGATACACAACTTGGTTAAATGGGAAGAGGTGATAATGAGCAAAGTACAAGGAGGTCTGGGCATTAAGAATTTAAGTATTCAGAACACTAGTTTGCTGCAAAAATGGTTGTGGAGATTCTGTTGCGAAGATACAGCATTATGGAGGAGGTTCATTGCTGAGAAATATGGCCTACAGAGTAATTGGATAACTGAAGAGGTGAATGGTACTTTTGGGTGCTCAGTATGGAAAACTATTAGGAGAATGTGGACTGACTTCAATGCGCAGGTGACTTTCAGAGTGGGGAATGGCCTGAAGATCAGTTTCTGGAATGAGATTTGGTTAGGCGATGTGAAAATGAGGATACTCTTTCTTGACTTGTACATCATCAGCGTACAACAGAATGACACTATAGCGCAGATGTGGAGTCCTCAAGGCTGGAATCTTATATTTAGAAGGGCTCTAAATGATTGGGAGGTTGAAAGAGTAGCAGACTTACTCCAGACCTTGAACCTGTTCCTTGGCATCAATGCAGAGTCCGACAAACCAGTTTGGAAATTGCATAGTAGGGGAGTTTTTACAGTAAAGTCTTGTTACTGGGAAAGAAACACCAACCACTCTTTGACAACATCTTGGCCCTGGAAATTAATATGGAAGATTAAGATCCCTCTAAAAGTTGCTTGCTTCACTTGGTTGGTAATTAGAAGAGCTTGTTTAACACACGAAGTGCTACAAAGAAGAGGTTTACAGATCTGCTCAAGGTGCTTTATGTGTGAACAAGAGGCTGAAGAAAATGGCCATTTATTTTTGCACTGCAGGATGGCTGCAGATCTGTGGAACATGTTCATTTGTATACTCGGGGTTAACTGGACAATGCCCAGAACTACTTTTGAGGTACTAACACGCTGGAAAGGAATTGGGAAGAGAGGATCAAAGGGAGATTGGTGGAAAAATGTACCTGCTTGCATTTGGTGGACACTATGGAAAGAAAGGAATGGAAGGTGCTTTGAAGGGAGGACTAGCAGTTCCCAGACGATCAAGATGAGATGCCTTAGTCTTTTTTTTTTTTGGTGTAAGCAAGATTTAGTGGGGGAAGCAAATAGTTTAGTAGAGTTTATAGGACAATTGTAAATTTTTGAAAATTTGGTTTTGGATTTGAGAATGATGGCACCCCCGGGGGGTTTGTAAATCCCTCCTCATCAATTTCTTGATGAGGTCTTTTGTGTGAATACAAAGTTACCTATTTAAAAAAAAACACATAATGAGCTCCTTCAAAACGAGCGTGTACATCAATTTTGCTGACGTGGACGACAATTGGGTGTTGCACGACCTCATCTTCCACTCCTAAAATTCTTTATGACTTCCATTGACGGTAGGTTCCACTTCTTTTTCTTCTTCACCATCACAAACAAAATTGTCACTTAAAGTAGAAACCTATCAAATCTTAATTCTTTTTTTTTTTTTTTGGGAATTGGTACTTCTCAATTTCTCCTCCTCTTTCTCCACCATTGCCAACCTATAATTTCCACATAAACCTATTCAAACCCCTCTTCTCATTTTTCCCCACCATTACACGCCCAAAAGATTCAACCAACTAGCAAATCCAAACTCTTTGTGATTAAAGCCAACTTGTGTCAAATTTCAAATGACCCATTTTCTACTTGTTCTTTTTCTTGTTGTGCGCTCTCACATCTCTTGAAACAATGAATGCCTATCCCAATGACAAAAGAGAAGTAAAAGATTTTCAAGGTCAACAATTGCAGGAGATAAATGAGATGGACTAGGATTAAAAGAATGGGTTCTCAATTTTGGGTTAAAAAATGGTTTTACCATGAGTGGTGTTCAGGGCTTCTTTTCTTAAGGGTCAACATTGATGAGCGATGAGGTCGATTTCTCTGTTGGGATTGTTTCAAAATATTAAAGGTCATTTGGATAATTATTCCAATGTATCTCAACCTTTCTGCAAGTTCCAATTTAAAAGATTGGAATTGACCATTAGAAAATAAAACAATTGCCAACAAAACTAATTCTCCATTGAAGTCTTTTTTAATGAGCATTAAACCAAACAAAGAGTCTAATTACTAACTTTCTTACCGATGTAACTTCTATGAGACCAAAATGTGGATGCATGGTTGATTGTTTGAGTGATGGGGAGAAAAACTTCCAAGTTGAGTTAGTTTGTTTTTTCCTATTAAATCCTTTTTAATATGTATTCTTTATTGTTGTTCATGTTAATCTTGTTAGACCATGGTACAAAGACCATACCTCCCTCTTGCTATTATAAAAGTTAACAAGAGAGTTGAGATTATACAATTGCGAGTAGATAAATTCTTGTGAAGTCACATAAATGCTTTTCATTTTCTTTTGGACATCATAGTTACAATCTATATATTTACATAATAACAAAATAATTAGAAGAAGTTGACCAAGGGTAGTGATTAGGCTTTTATTTTTCATTATTGAAAGAGAAATCTACAACTCATTAATGGAGTTGGAATGTATTAGATGACATGAACATGACAATTTGGAAACTTTCATGCTTTTAATATGCCTGATGTGCATGTGCTTTTGCCACATCAACAATCTGAAAAGGCAAGTATGTATGGCAAATGGCTAGAGGTATTATATGTGTTGTTTTGCATCTTTTGGACATCTTTTTATTATATTTCACTTTATTAAAAAGTACTTATCATGTGTGGTTTTAACAAGTAAAGATGTTAAGCTGGACTTGCTATTGAAGGGGTGTTAACCTGGAACCTATTATTAAAAGAAGTGTTTAACTAGGACGTAGAGAGGTGAAATCAGGAGTACACTTGTATATAAGGTTACAATACAACCCATGTACTGCTTTGTGATATAATACAAAGTCACCAAGTTAAAAAAAACAAAAAAAGTGTTAAACTAGAGCAAGTCTTAAGTTAGGGGTTTGCCTTTTAAAAACGTGCAAGTTGGACTGTTAATTTGTGTATTGAGCCTTTTTTTATTCATTTAGCGTTGTTGTCACCCCCGTAGACATTTTTTTTGAACTTCCTTTGTAATTCATTAATGGACCAACAGGATTTGAAGAAATGTAACTTTTCATATCAGATATGGCGTGATTTAGTTAGAATTATGTCTTGTCGAGGTAGATTAACAACATATCTAGTGAAATTCCTCAAGTGGGGTTGGTGTTGAGAGGTGGAGTAATTATTATTCTTCGCTAAGCAAGTTGGGTTCAACTTTATGAATGTGTCACTTCATTTATGCTCACCCCAATCTTATATTATATGAAATAGAATAAAAAACAATAAAGTTCTTTGTATTTTCTACTAGTAATGGCATATAAACTTCTAACATGATTAGAACACCCTGGGCACCATGGACACTCTACATAAACAGAAAATCAGGCAAGGGAATGGAATAGTAGTGGTCTCTCGAAATGCCCACTCGTGAATCTCGACAAGCAGTAGGTGAGCAAAATCAATCCTGTACCCAACCATCACACATGCAACCATCACCGCCCGATCTAAAGTCAAGTGGTTATCTGCCATGATGGGGTATAGTCGAGCACGTACAATAGACCACCAAAACATGGTCGGGAAATTCAACGAGGCCTTCTTGATTAGGGCTATACTGTGTACCCAATCGACATCAACACCTTGCTCGGTGATGTATCTTGCTACCTATTTGAGCAAATCTTCCTTTTGAGACGCGTCCTTCATCGCATTTTTGTTTCGGAATATATGCATTTCGTAATCAAACACAGCAGTAAAGGCAATCTGCTTGTAGGTTGGTCTATGGATGAACTCGTCGGTTGATACGCCCAAATTACACCTCCCAAAAGAAGAATAAACGATTGTTCAAATAAAGAACCTAAACATAGGTTAGGGTTGATCCCACGAGGAATGAGGTCTAGACTTAGCCTAATTGATTATTAGCTGTACATTTAGTCGAGTTATTTCCGTAACCGGGGGTGGTGGTGGTTTGTGAAACAAAAGCTTGAATTAATGGTTGTAGTAACAAGTAGGAGATTGACTGCTTGTAAAATCAATAGAAGATAAAACTAGGACATTTGTGTTCTCCACAAGTTCATAACGCAGTTAACCTTATAGTGGTAGCCTTGTCTAGTGTCTAGCATGCAAAGTCGGTAAGTTAGGTATCTCCTAAGTGGATGGTCGCCCAAATAATTGAATTTCACCACGCAACTTTGGTCGGTCTACGGGTGTATGCTTTACTAACCCTTACCCTTGACCCTAGATTAGCTATCCCTGGTCCGTTCAAGTTATTAGATGAGGGTTGGTAACATCAAATCTTCATTGTATAATCCCTTTTTCCATTTGTTACCCCTTTGGTCAGGCAAGTAGGAATAATGCGACTTCTAACGTAGGCCTTTGTTAAAAAGCAATCAAAGTGAAGAGATAAACAATACATGCATAAACACTATTCAAGAATTGCTAGTTATTAGGTTTGCGTTAATTCCTTCTGGTTCCCACAACTCTAGTTGTGGATTTATCTACTCATGCTTGGGTGATCACAATTCATATTAATTTTGTTAAGATAAATCATGCACTTACAATTAAAGTAGTTGAATTTCGGAATCTTGAATTGATGAACAAAAGATGTAATAATAACCAACGATTCTAGAATTAAAATGGAGAAGTGTTTCACAATTTAATTCTCAAAACAAAGCTCCAAATTATGATTTGTCAGTCTTCAAAAATAAATAAAAAGCGACTATTTATAGACATCTTATCCTAAATAAAGTAGACTAAGAAAACATAGGAAAAGTAGGATTCGACAATCGCTTCTACAGTTCAGGTTCTACGGCTCGTAGGAACCTTTCGTGGAACACAACTTCTTCAATATTCCTTGGACTTTTCTATGGACATATTTTACGACTCGTCGAACTTTGCACGACCCGTCCTGGCTACTCGTAGTCCAAGTTCTAGAACCCAACGTCTTTGATCTTTTCTACGACTTGGACCTACGGCTCGTAGTCCAATCTCTTGGTCCCATACTTAGCTTCAAAAACCACTGGTCCCTTCTACGACTTATACCTACGGCTTGTAGGTCAATTCATCAAACCTCAAAATCTGTTGTTTCACTGTACACTCTTCAACCCGACTAGCCAAAATCTATTTTCCTGCAAAACAAAGATAAAATACCATCAAATCTACTATCAAGTGCTTAAAAGACATGCAGAACCTCAATTTTAAAGCATTATAAGTACCGTAAATACGCAGTACATCATAGACACACGTTACTCCCTAGACTCATGTAACTTTGCATACAACTACTTTGTGTGGTAGTACTTTTTTCCTCAGTTTTTAAATAAAATATGTGCCTTCATAAAATATAAGCTCTCATTGATCAAAAAAGTTGCAATCAGAGTGACATCTATGTTTTTTATGACGGTGTTCAGCTTGTTCACGCACACCTCGAATTTTCCACTAGGTGATTGCTATTTTCCATTAGCATAGGTACTAGATAATTTATCCACCAAGGTGGGATGAAATCACCTACTTTTTTTTGCTTCCATGAGATATAAACTTGATGGTTCTTCACCCACTTCGTTAATTACTTCGCCATTCCCTTTAATGCAGAAACGTGGCCTATTTTTTCTTCCCTAGTGGTATGTGAATTATGAATCATAGTTGTTCTGTTTGGTTGTCTTGTTATAGTATTCTCTATTTCTGCTATGAGTCTGTCCTGAGTTTGCATATAGCCATTGTCAATATCACGCGCTTAACTTGTAATTTATCATATGCCTGTCATTAGTGAATGCTTCCTCGTAACTGTAAGAGAGTTGGCTGCTTAACTTCTTGTCGATTAACTTGACCAGGAAGCTATTGCTGGCAGATGCAATGTTATCTGCACTTCAGAGGACAACAGAAATTCGCAACCATCAGATGAAGAAGTAAAAATGGCTGACTATGTTTTCTACCGTGCTTTTGATGTTGGAACTTGTGCAATTTTGGATAAGATGATTGACAAAGTTGGTGGGCTGGATGGTATGTGCCTCAGCTCCCTGGGTGTCCTCTCTTTGTGGTGTCACTACAGTACAAGTTTCATTTTAATGGAATAATATAAAGCTGCTTAGATTAATCTCTTATGCAAATTTGTTTACGTTTTGGTACAGTCAAGTATGTTTTTAACAGGAAAGAGAGTGAAAAGGCCAGTCATGTCCTCAAACTTGCTTCTGACAAGAAAGATAACAAAACTGCTGTGGAATATCGAGCTAATGGGGAGTCCTTTGGGCTAAAACCACAGAATCATCTTGGTGCTGCCAAACTGAGTCATTTACTTGGAAAAAGTGATGTAGATGGACAAAATTCTCTGGTTGGACAGGATGCCGTACAGAGAGATACAAATGTTTCACGTGTTAATCAGGAAACTGCTAAGGAAGTGAATTCTGTCCCTGGTGAGAAAAACTCACATGATTTGGGAGTTGCAAAAGCTGCTGGTAAATCAAGTCATTTAGTGGGAAGAAATGATGTAGATGCGCAAAGTTCACCTATTAGAGAGGATGCCTTACATGGAGATGCAAATGATTCTTACAATGAGCAGCAATCAACAATGAAAGGAAATGCCGCGCCGGTGCTGGTTGTTGTTAACAGCAAAATAGCCACTACAGTTGTTCACAACCAAAATACTTCAAGTGAAGAAAATGCACTCTACACGGTTAAGAATGATAAAAAAGTTAATACACTTTCAATAGAACTCGTAGTAGCTGGTGAAAGAGGAAAACCTTCGAAGGATCTTGGCATTTTGGACAATAGGCCTTCAAAACGAATAAAAGTAAATGGTTCTGTGACACTATCAGAGGACAAGGGTGGGGACAATGTACAGAAGTTCACTGTTTGCACAAATGACAAAGAGGTTATGGGAACGGGTGCTACTCCTTCTGAAGAAAGAAAGAAATCTGGAGACAGTAAGCTTTCTGGTGGACTGGACAAGAACATGCAGAACAGAAAGGATGGTGCTGCCTTGGATATCAGACCTCCCAAGAGGGCAAACATAGACTCTCTTAAAGTAAAAGAGGATAGAGATAGAAGTAACATGTCAATACGTAAGCCTGTTGACAATATAGGCAAGTTGCCTAAATTATCTGCTGGAATATCCCCCAAGGAAGTTGAGAGGATGGGAGGCAAGAGCCTCATAATCACGCGGAGACCCATTGCAGTAAGTTTTGCCTCGAGCAATGTCATTTTCTTGTGAAGTTTAATTTGTTGCTAGATAAAATTGTGCTTAACCTGTTCTACTTTATCTTTTGTGAATTTGGTGCTGCTAGTTTGATAAAGAACTAAATCTTTTCTTTTTGATGATACAATGGTGGTATTACATGGAGTTGCTTACTTTTCCATGCCATTGAGAAGTTTTTGGACCAACCTCTCTTTGATTGCAGTCAAGCATATAAAGACGTACCGAAATCTCTTGAATTGAAGCAAGAGAGCTTTACAACATAACATTTCTTTTATATTTAGAGAGACAAGCCTCATAGGAGGTCCATGAAGTAGCATCTAATTTAACCTATACAAATTGTAACTCAATAAATTGGCTTATTTTTATATATAGAAATAAGAATGGGAGTTTAGTTTGGTAATGGGAAGGTGTTGAATGTCTAGGATTTAGGAATTGATGGAGATTAAAGAGTTCGTTCATAGGATATATGAGCAACCCATTGGTAATGAAGGGGAGGTTAAGATGGTATGGGTAGAGGGAGAAGTGATATTTTTTATGGTTAGAGTTCATCTAGTAGTGAGTCATGCACAGTTGGGGATAACAGGGAGAGGTGTGGAAGAGACGGTTGATATTAAAGTTACTAAGATGTAATTCTTTGCATGCCGCATCATGAATGTCATGCCCCGAGGCTACCCCCTGGACGTAAACACAGGACCTAGGATCACGAGTGACCTCAAGCTAATCCTAAGCTGGCATATCATAAGCATACTAAAGCAATTTGAATATAATGATACTATGCGGAAGCTTAAAACCATAATTTACTGAAAGTGGGGAATACCCAGTACTGATTTGAATATATGAAAGACTATGAGTTTAATAACAACTGGAAGATCAAACTCAAAACTAAAATTGAATCTAGTACTTTGTCTGAAAAAGCCTTTAACTGACTAGAGTTGACTAGTGTTGCTGGGACATGCCCTAGCTAACTCTAGCAAAATTGAAAACTGAATAAAAAGACTAAAGTGTAAAGCATGTCTGTTGTCCTCGAAGTATGAGGACTCACCACTGAAGCTGTTGAACTTGAGATCGGGAACCGATCTATGCGTGATCTGGATGCTGAGTACCTGAACCTACATCATGAAAGGATGTAGCGCAGAGTATGCATCAGTACTTGGATTGTACTGAGCATGCATGATATAGAGTATAGTTGAATAAAACACATAACTGAACAAAGCATACTGAGCAATAACATAATCTGAACTGAATGTAAATGCTGGAATATACTAAAGACTGAACTAAGTGCAATGACCAAGTACTAATTCTGAACATGACATACTGAGACTGAATGCTGAAGTATAACTGAAAACCTGGTCGAGTGCACTAGACTCTGACCGTGGGAGCTACTAATAACCGACATAAAACCACGTGAGCTAAACGTGGAGTCCGATGTATATGCCTCATCGAGAGGACCCAATATACCTTGCTAGGGGTATAAAGGCACGACTGTTCGATATATACTCCCCATCGAGAGGACCCAATATACCTTGCCAGGGCTATAAAGGCATGACTGGCGTGATCACTAAAGCTGATGCCCAACAGAGGGGAACAAAGGGGACTAATAAACCTATGGGGGCACATAGTTTTGGGACTATGAGGGTACGCTGAACCTTAGTCCAACTCGGTCTAAGCATACTCCCAACTGGAATGTGTATGACACAACAAAATTGAAATACTAGATAGCTCAATGTTTTGACATGCAAATCTGAGAATGCAACATTTAAATACTGACAATGAAACATTCTTAACTGGAGCATGTTTATCTGTTTAAACTGACCTAGCAAGTGTAATTCATGAACTAAAAGAATCTACGCAACTAGGGTTCTGAATTTCATGCAAAGAACTAAGCAGTGATTTCACGAAAACATGATTATCTGATTAGGAATACTATAACAACTAATTCACAACGATTCTGCAAGGTTTGAGAAACACTAAGACTAAACATGATATAGAGAATCAAGAATCTGACTGAATTCTAGGGACCTAGTGGATGGAAGGAACCCACTAGTGAAATCTCACATACCTTGTGATGAAATCTATGGAGAAATCCTTCAATTTCGGGGCTGGAACGGAAGAAAACCTGTTGCGTTCTTGGAAGGGTTTGGGTCGCCTCTTTTCTTTCTTTTGTTCTAAGTTTGATGAATTTTTAGTGAATGAATCGCTTAGGGAAAGATCTGACTAAGTTACTAGGCTTAAACTGACCAAAACTACATAGTTTAGGGATCAAAACGACCATGACTTAATTCTGACGAATGCCACCCACGGAGGGACCTACGGTTTGTGGATTGACCTACCAACCGTAGGTAGGGGTCATCAGTCAAGTCTGCTCGACATGGCTTCACTAAAACGAGCATAACTTTTTACTCGGAGATGGGATTTTAGCAAACTTGGTGGCGTTGGAAAGAGGATTCCATTATTTATCATTTTAGGTCATGGGCCACCTAATTCCTTTGTGCTAAGAGTTATGACCGTTTGAAGTTGACCCAACATCAATTTCCCTCTAACAGGCTGTTGACCCTCACCTACGATCAGATCTACGGTCCGTAGGTCCAACCACGGACCGTCCTGATGTGGGTGGGATCAGAGACTATAAATATTTGGGCCTTAACGATGGAACCCCACCTACGGTCCGTGGTCCCATATATGGTCCGTAGGTGGTTCCGTTGGTACTGGCACCGGTTTTCTGAAAACTAGGATGTTTCTTCATTTTGAGATCCGAGGTGTTACAATGAAATCCTAACGGTATTTGAGAATTACTACACATTAGATTCACAACATTGCTAGGAAGGCTTGCACTCCCTTTGTCCTAAGTGGCTTAGGCGAAGGAGAAGGTAAAGTGGTGGTGATCAATGGTTGGAGATCACCGAGGGTGCACAAGGAAAATAAGACAACTTGGAAGATAATACTTCTATGCACTTTTGGATGGTCTTAAATGGGAGGAACACAAGTGCCTACCATTTGCATGCAAGGGAATATTAGAATTACTTTGAATTCTTTTCTTTTGCATATACGGTTTTGGTAGTAGAAAATTATCATTTTTATACTTGATTGGAGCAATTTGTTTGAAAATTGTGGTCAAGCCACTTACTCAGTTAGTAAACAGATTTAACACCATTTGGTGTGATATCATTGAAACAAGTTTGATTTATTGTTTAAAAAACTAAGAGAATTAGGTTTGTGATAGGCTATGCCGTTGAATCTTATGTCTAAAGAAAAGGAGATATTGTGTTAGTTGTAACTTTTTAAAAGAATGGTACACCCTTCGGGGTGGTCCAGTGGTTTGGGCTTGGGACTTCCATGTTGGAGGTCTCAAGTTCGAAACCCCTTGCCAGCGAAAGCAAGGGGTTTGCCTTCTGGGTCGAGCTCATCGCACCGGGCTTGCATAGGAGCGGGGGTTTTACCCTGTGCGCACCCAAAGGGTAGCGGCTGCGAGTTTCCCTTGTCATCAAAAAAAAAAAAAAAAAAGAATGGTGCTATATTTATCTCATTTTATGCGACACTTCTCCTTTTAGTCTAAGAAATGATACCTTTCTCCTTTTGCAAGCTATTAACTTTAATATCCATGTTTAACCATTAACGACAACTTGTTGGGACCCATATAATATATAAGTTCATTCTTTTTTTAAGGAGAGAATAAGACGACATAAGGAATACTCATAATCATTCATTTAAAAGGATAATTTTGGTTCTTTACATATTAAACATGTCAAAAGTCTTCTTTACTTATAATTTCGTACCTAGTCAAACATGAAACACCTTCACATAAAATGAACTAAGTCTTAATATTGTCTATTCAAAGCTTTCTACAAAGATGGTAGCTCATTGTTACTCAATCCACTTTCATCCCTAATTGCCGTCACCACCATTATCGACTTTTATCATCCCAACCACAACCATCGTTGCCGCTAATCACCACAAATAGTTGTCACCACTACTAGCCACCATTTTACATTGGTCACTGCCAAGTGCCAACCACCACCCATCACCACCATTAGTCACTACTATATGCTGCTAACCTCCATCATCATTTACCATCACCGTTATCACTGTCCTCCTCCACAATTATCAATTGTCAAAGACTCAAAGTGAACCACTACCATTAACTACTATTACTAGCCACCGTTACCATTAGATTACCTTCAACCAATACCATCAACCAACATATTCTCTAATCACCCACAAACACTATGAACCGTCATATTATTTTCTTTACCTTTTATTTTATCCTCAATGTGTGCTACTTTTACTTTTGGCAAATGTGATTATATTTTTAAATTTATCTAATCTTGTATCATGTCACATCCATCTTATCATCCACATCTTTGCAATATTCATCTTGTGAATTTGTTAAAACTTTAGCGGCCCAACATTCATTACCGTATGACATTTTTTTTTGATAACCAAGAAATTTGCCTATGACCCGCCCTTTGGACCAATTACAACCTTCGAAACTCGGTGGATAATGGGCCCGCCCCTCTACCTTCTCCACTTAAATACTGGGCTTTGCTTTGCATGGTGTGGGGCTTGAACCTGTGATCTAAGCCACAAATCCTCCACCTCTTGCCACTTGAGCTAGGCCTTGGGGGCTATCGTATAACAATTTTAGCTTATAGCTATTCTAGAACTTACCTTTTATGTTGGTGGACATCTCTATGTCGCATGACGCGACACATCCTGGTAACACTTTTCCATTTCTACTTATCCTCAATAGCCAAGCTTTTGTTTGACACCTTCACTTGTTTCGTCAACTAAAACAATATCATCCATGAATAACATATACCATGTTATCTCATTTTATTTTTCGTTGGTTAGTTTATCCATAACCTAAGGGTAAACTTGCTTCCTTTTGAGTGCTCGTCTTAAATGTGGTTGTGCCCTTTTGGGCTGGTCAGGCTCATTTGATACCGATATCAATGAGAAATGCAGAAGGAGAGCCTTGTCATATCTGGTAAAGTTGTTGCCATATGACCGGGAAGTCATAGGTTCAAGCCGTGGAAACAACCTCTTGCTGTAAGGTAAGACTACATACAATAGACCCTTGGGTCCGGCCTTCCTTGGACCCTGCACATAGAGGGATCTTTAGTGCACCAAGCTGCCTTTCTTATGTTTCTTGGAACTGCTTGCTGGCTAGACCATTCACTTAAACAATTTAATAAAAAAATAGACACCATCACTTTCTCAAAGTTTCACTTTGAAATATGAACCATATTCTATTACATGGGAACATGATAAGTTCTACTGTGTTTAGTTCACCCTAGTGTATAGTTTAACGTTGAGTCTTAAAGTAGACTACTAGTATAATGTAGATCAGGTAATTCATGATGTGCTAGCTGTAGTTGAGTCCCCTTTCAAAAGCAGAAAAGTTGACGTTTGGAAAAGAATGCCACAAGAATTAATCCTTTCCGCATCTCAAGGGGTCATTCCAAATCAGTTCATGCAGACCAGAATGTGCAGTCAACGTCTCAGGATTTTTATTGCTTTCGGAGATATAAAAGAGATGCAAAATTCAAGTAATTATGGAGAGTTAAGATTTTAGTTCTATATTCATGTAAGACTCATAATTTTGTAAAAATTAGTTAGTGACTAATTATGCTTTTTCCAATGATGGGAAAAAATGGATGTTTACTCAAAAAATATTTGCCTTTTCCCTTTTATCATTTTTTGGACGGTGAAAGAAATGGATTTACTTGCTGCTATCTGGTGTATGTGATTATAATGTCATCATCCCTTTTTCTACTCTAGATTTTCTGGTATAATTGTATTTTCGAGATCTGATTTTTAATTCGGATTCATGTAATCTGTTGTGAGATGACATTAGATTGTTGATATCGTACGGTGGAAATTTATGCTTCTTCTCTCCATCATGGCTGCAAATTAGTTGGTTTTGTTTACAATTTTTTTTTTCAAATATCAAACTTATGTAACCCCCTTTCTTGTTTATTATAGGAGTCGAGCAAGTGGTTCAAGGCACCTGTAAGTGTTCCTATCCTTGGTCCTATATTACTTAGCTGATTAAGTAACTCTGTCTGATATGCTGATTATTTCTAGGAAATATGTAACTCTATATATTTTTTGTTCTTTGATTCGTGCTACTATACGTTGTTTTGTGAACTTTGATTATAATATTACTTTGTTGTAGTTATTGTTCCTTTTTTTTTTTGAAGAACGGTTTGTCAGGCTATGTTTAGTATTTTGTCATGACTTCTTCACTTTTGTTATTTCTTTTCTCGAACTACGTTGATATGCTTTTCCTTGAGCTGAGGGTCTATCGGAAAAAAGTGAAAACCTTCCTACCCTACCTTTACAAGTAAAGGTCTGCGTACACACTACCCTTCCCAAACCCCACATGATTACATTGGGTGTGTTGTTGTGTGTAGCTTGTATCATGTCATAAATATGTCATAAATATAGGTGAAGTTTTTTGAACAAATGGCTTGTTGTGACCTATTTGAGCTTAGAATTGTAACTTTGTTGTTCTTCGAGAGATTCATTAAATTAAGTTTTTCACTCCTACGCTGACATGACCTAGTTGATTAAAGATCAAGTTTGATGGCTCATGTGTCGCTTGACAAGGACGTGAGACCGCAAAAGGCGTTGTCGTGGAATAAGTGTGACCTCTACTGAAGTGATTGAGCTATCTTTGAATCCTAGGTCATTGTTTGGCCTGTTCTTTTGTTACTAACGAAAGATAGTCGACAATGATGGTGAAAATATATCCTTAGGCTTGGACAACTTAATTGTATAACGATTTGAAGTAGACTCTTTTACACTTTATCTTTTATGGTTTATTCGAGAATTCTCTTCTCGGTTACAACATTTACTAATTAGTTTCTAATTTCTTTATGAATAAAAGCTATTGTGAATTCAATGTATAGGACTTTGAAGTTTGTTTTCATGGGTTGAATTGAAAATTTATTTAGTTTTGCTTTTTATTTCTTAGTTGTTGAATGCAATGTTACTCCACACGAGATAGCTAAGGGATCTAGGAGGGGCTTTTGGAACTTCTCCATTTCTTCTTGACTCTAGGGTAGCGTAAAAAAATATTTGAAGTCTAAAACTCCTTTAGGTTTATTGTATGTCAAAACCTTTCTATATTACATCTGAAGTATTTAGACTCAAGACCACACATCAACATTAAAATCTATTTATCCCTTGTTGCAATACAAAATCATTCAACTTGAAGTTGATAAAAAAAGAGGGATGTCACACCATACTACCCCCCCACCACCACACACACACACAAAAGAAGGAAAGCTTTGTCCAGTGAATTTCTACTCACTATGAACCCATTCTCATGATATGCCTAATTTTCATGGGAGTGAGTAATGGAAGTTGGCTGATTGCTTATTTGCTTAGTAGTGACATGTGATTGTTGGTTGTTTGGGTGTAGGGAGGAGATAATGTATTTAGAGCTGGCTCTAGAAAACTGGTTGGCTCTAGAAAACTGGTGCGCTTTTTCAGATTGATGATGGTTTTCGGGTTAATGGATTAGCACAAGAACAAGAAATATGTTTTGGCTCAGCAAATAGTGCAAAGAAGAGAGCTTATTTTTTTTATCTTTAAAATCTTATTAAGTTGCATGGAATGATTCTTTTGGATGCCCATAATATGGAACTCACTCATCACGAAAAACATGGCTTACACTTAATTCTTTCTTTTCTCATCTATTAGTAGTGAAATGAAAAATAATGATTTGATATTGTTACAGCTTGGTCGAATGACAAGAGTATTATATGTGGTGTATGGGTTAGACACAAGTTATGAGTTATAATTTTGCAACAAACAAATCTAGGTAGCTAAGTGGAGAGGTGTAGAGGGGTGTGAATGTTATCTACCGAGTACCGAACCGTATGCCAAAGGTTCTTGGGATTTCTCGGTTATTAAAGGAAGAAAAATATATGGTGTGATTGATGCTTTTTACATAAAATATAGTGATGTTGTGTCATTATATCTTATTTCAATAACGTTGGTTGAGCTAGCTTTCCAGGCAACTTAACTGTTCCATGGGGTGCCTGTTACCTCCACTAGCACATGTGCACAAGTATGGGGTGAATACCTACCAAGCCGTGGGCATATGAAAATAAATCACCATAACATATTTGTTAACGAATTCTTGAATACCAAACTAACAGAAAAAGAAATCTATTAAAGAATTAAGTGAAAAAATTACATAGTTCGCTATTTCTTTGTATATGCCCATGTCTAATTGACTGTAACTTAACAATTAGAAGTTACCATCACATGTGGAGCTAACTATGTGTTAAAAATTGAAGGTTTCCCATGTGTTGGAGCTATGTTTCACACATTAGAGTTAGCTCGTGCAACATTTCCTGCATAACGATTAGTGCCTTAACAGAGTGCTCATGCTTTCGGATAATACGATCTTTATATTATATGATAGGTTTTTGTAGATGAATTCTAATATCCTTTTCGTGTTTAATAAGATGACATAAGTTTCACTGTTTTTCTTTCTACTCTTATTTAGCCATGGGAGGAGGTGATGCAAACATCAAATGAGCAAGGGACCCTTATCTTACTAGAAAATTTGAATCCTGAATATACATCAGGAGAGGTGGAGGTAATACCCTATCACATGCTATTTAACTTTTGATAATATCTAGTTTGATTTGATACCTATTTTGTGATTTTTTGTATGCGAGTATATCATGCTTGCTCTGGGGAAGTGTTTTTCTTTAAGTTTTTTAAAAGTTTTGAGACGGAAGAGAAAATGAGAGGGAACTATGGGGATTTAAAGGTGTTAAAAAGGAGATAAAGTGGACCCCAAATCCCATGACCCATGAAAGAAACTTGCCTCAAATGACCTCCAATCTTGGAATCAATGCACTAGGGGACCTTAGTTCTATAAAAATCTTATGTCATTAGATTATCTGGAGAATTTTCAATTCTAGAGAAACAATTTTTTTTTTTATATTTGATTGAAACTGGCTTTATTGCAGTGACATGGACAATGAAGATTCATAGAACCAATAACTTTGGTTGATAATGTTATACTTGTTGCACTTTAATCTCGTTTCCGTGTTTGCAGTTGAGCTCATTGTGGTTGAGAATTATCCTTAATAGGTTAATTTTTTGATTTGCCTGCTTGTTGCCAAATCCATATTAAATTGTCAAAAATTCCCTTTTTGTAAGATGCGGAAGGGAAAAGCAACCGAGTCGGATGAGATCTCGGTGGATTTTTGGAAGGACGCTAGCGAGGCATGTATATGGAGTGACTAATTGAGTTATTTAATGTCATATTTAGGACGACTAAAATGCCAGAAGAATGGAGGTGGAGTACAATGGTTCCATTGTACTAGGATAATGGTGATATTCAGAATTGCAACAATTAAAAGGGTATCAAACTACTAAGCCATACTATGGAAGTTTGGGAGAGTGTGGTTGAGATGAGGATGAGGAGGGACCAACCACAAAACCCATTCATCTTGTATGGAAAGTGTTGGAACAATATAGGGATAAGGAGAGAGCCTTATAAATGGTGTTCATTGACATGGAAAAGGCTTATGATAATGTCCATAGGGAGGTCCTTTGGAGATAGAGATGTTTGGACTTTAGAGGTGTACCTGTGACTTAGATTAGGACGATTAAGGATAAGGTACAATGGAGCTATGACCAGGTAAGAATAGTGGGTGGTGACGCAGAATACTTTTTGGTTGTGCTGGGGTTGCACTAAGGATCATCCTTTAGCCCGTTCCTATTTGCCATGGTGTTGGACGAATTGACATGAAATATCCAAGGGAAAGTGCCATGGTGTATGTTATAGACAAATGACATAATGTTGATCGACAAGACGGCGGTCGAGTTTATGAAAGGTTGGAAGTTTGGAAACAAGCTCAAAAGTTTAAAGATTTCAGTCTTACCCAATAGAGGAAGCTTCAATCTTGGGTCAATAATTCAAGGAGACAAGGAGATTGACGATGATGTCGCACATTATATTGGAGTGGAGTGGGTGAAATGGAGGCTCACCTTCAAGATACTGTGGAATAAGAATGTGTTGCCAAGGCTTAAAGGTAAGCTTTACATAGTGGTGAACGTTGTTGCATGAGGCAGAATGTTGGCCCATAAAGAACTCCCATGTTTAGACTTTAGAATTTGAAAGTAGCAAATGGATGCTCAAATGGATGTGTGGGCATACTAGGAGAGATATATTAGCTAATATAGAATATTTGGAATGAAGTTATACGGGATAAGGTGGGAGTGACCTTTGTGGCAGACAAGATTAGGAAAGCAAGGTTGAGATGGTTTTGAGATAGTGAAAAAGAGGTGCATGATTGTGCCGGTAAGGAGGTGCGGGAGGTTTGTTGTAGCAAGAGTTAAGAGAGGTAGAGTTAAATCGAAAAAGGACCAGAGAAGTGATTAGCTAGGACATGACACAACTTCAGCTTACCAAGGACGTGATCCTAGATAGGAAGGTTTGGAGTCAAGGTTTAGGTAGCCAAGTGTTGCACTTTATATAAGAGAGGTAGGGGACTAACCTCCTCCCCTCCTATTCTCCTTATTAGTATTATTTAGTAGTCGCGTAATCTCTCTGCTGCTTAATTTACTTTGTTTCTTGTTATTTTATTGTCATATTTTTTTTTGTAATCCTGCTTCAAAAATATTTCTTTCGAGTCGAGGGTGTGTCGAAAACAACCTCCCTACCCCACATGTGGGATTACAATGGGTAAGTTGTTTTTTCTTTTCTGTTCCTTTTGTCTTGTTTGAGAGCTAGGGAGAAACAAAAAGAGTTAGATAATATTAGCTTTCCTGATTCATTCAGTTTCTTCTTCATCTGCAAACTGTCCTAATTGAACTGACTGTTGTACTGTCATTCTCCATGTCCTTTGCGATTATGTATCCTACTGGGCAACTTACTATCATCCTTCTTGCCCTAAACACTTGCGTTGTTATTATGATTTATGAATGAAGAAGAGTCGTATAAGTTCCTTACTCACAAATCTAAGGTGAAGTAACCTTAACTGGTACAATCATAGAAATACCTCATTGTTTGGCTTCTCAAATATAATTGCATCATTGATGATTTTTTGTTAAGAAAGTTAAAAATGATGATGGAGAGGAGCACACGTTTTGATTCCACGAATGAAGAAAAGTTGCAGCCAAACACCCTAATAGAAAAGTGAAGTAGCGAGACCCATTCTTTTGGTTGTTTGAGGAAAAATCTTGACACGAGCTAAGCGAGTCATTTTGTGATCTCAAATTAGAGACTTATGCCATGCTTATATTTCATGCCAACCATCAAAAGAGTTCGAGGTTGAATCAAAAGTTTACATAAATAAGAAGGGCTCTTAGTGGTCAATGAAGTGGTTGAGAACCTTGAAGTCTCAGGTTCAAAAGTCAGTGGAGACAAAAAATTCTAGGTGATTCTTCCCATTTGTCCTAGCCTTGGTTGATGAAGTTACTTGGTATCTGTTGCTGGTGGGAGGTGGCAAATATCTCGTGGAATTAGTCGATGTGCGCTAAAGCTGGCCCAAACACCATGGTCATCAAATAAAATAAAAAATAAGAAAGGCTTTTTTTCCCATGACATTATGATGTGACCTAGCGAATCTTATCTTGGTCTCCCCTACTTTATCTCATATTGCGTGATTCGGCTGGAAGAGCTTGGTGCATTTTACTGAATAAATATTTGAGCTTTGTATGTTTGTAGCTCATCCTTCTATGGTTCGACTTAACATTGTCTCATTATTTGACAAATATTAATTCCGACCAATAAAGTTGTCAAAAAGAAAAAAGAAGTTAATTCCAATCAGTAAGTCATAATTTTTTGAAATTGAAGGCTGGATAGTTGATGGTTTCTATTGAATTTCTTGTGAAGTTCTCCCAGATTTTACTTTTAAATACTAGTCGCCCTTTATATTGATGCTCAACCTTTTTATCTTTAGCCAAAACAGGAAAAAAGGCATGGAAATAGAAATAGGAGAATGCTAATTGTGAGAGACAAGATTACATATCCTTACATAAACCATGACAACGAGAAGTATCATCTTTTTTGTATTGAGGAAAGTCATTCGGGGTCCAATTAAGTGCTCTATCATCTTCGGTCTCCTCAACATTGGCTATAGTGTTTCCTGATGATATTAGTAATTTGTTTATCTGTTAGGCTACCACTGTATACATGTATATTTAGTAGTGATTTTATGTTAAAACACGGTTCTCTTCAAAGTAATTAATAGTGATTGAGATACTGTTTGTGCTCAAGAAGTGTTAACAAGAAAAGAATAAAGCTAGAATATTCTGGAAATTGTTTCTACATTGGCACCAAAGGTGCTATTCTCTGTGCTCTCTTTTGAACGTCTTTCCTAGGAGGATAGTTCTGGTTCCTAATATCACCTTTTCCATATTCAAATATGTCCCATTTCCCCTTATCCTACCCCAATTTAAAATAAACAAATTTTTTGTACCCCAAATTTTAAGAGTCTTTCCCTAAACTCCTTATCGAGGCACATATGCCGAATGAATTAAAATGGAGGGAGTACATTTTTATTTTCTTATTCCTATTCATTGAAACTTGATCGGTAACGTTTTTTTAACTATTAAATATATCACTTAACGAAATATATTTATCTCTATTGATGCTGATAAGGCACGTATCTTCCATACCTATTCAAGGAGGAAGAAGTGAAGAAGGATAGGAGAAGATAAGGATTGAGCAGTTTCTTATGGTCATTAAGAGTTATTTGGCAAATAAATAGGGAAAAATAAAAAAAATATAAAAACACAATCCTAAATAGTTATGAAGTAGTTCTAGTTATCTATTATATAATAGGAGATCCAGTAATAAGTAGGCAAGTTGTAATATATTGTGTATATGCAGAAAGGTCGTTCTAACTATGAGATACTTGTCTCTCTTTGTATTTTCTATTGTTCTAAGAGATATGAGATACTTGTGTTTCTCTTTGTATTTTCTATTGCTTTTATCTGGTATAAAACCTTGGTTTCTATCAGATGCTCTGTTTATGATAGAGCTCATAGGCAATGAGGCTCTTGTTTTAGTGCCATGGTGCCTTTAGCACTTCCTAGGTGAGGCGAATCACCAACTTGGCAGTCATCTTGCCTTAGGGATTGAGCATACTTTAAATGAGCCTTTAACAACATTGTCCGTTGCCCTCCATCCTATTATCCCCGAGGCTTTTCCAATTTGTGGACTGATGTTCCTACCGAAGCTTGGAGTTTCCATGATGAGGCGGAGGAATTTTAAGGGGAAATTATGGTTTATCTGGTGAAAGAAAATGATTGTAATATGTACTATGCTCATAACATGCATTTTCCCACTGTCTCTTGTCCTCTTAAGTTTCCTATCTATCTGGTCTTATCCTTTTTATTAGCACTAACTGTTTGTTGGGAGGACGCTCGCTTGTATTTTGTAACTTGTGCATGGCTGTCTTGTTGTACTAACATTTGTGTTGATAATGTTACAGGATATTATCTGGCATGCATGTAGGGAAAACTGCACAGCCAAAATGGTTCAGCGCACTGCTTTCTCTAGTCCGTACTATGGTATGTTTTCAAGTGTCAATCTTTCTGTATACAGGCTTCCACTAGTTATCTTATGGGAATGTTTTTTTTGTATGTCACAATCATATATGAGTTTATGTTTCTTCGTTCACACTTTCTACGGGAGACTGGGCAGCTTATTGAATAAGAAACTGTGCTTTATGATCATGATGTGTCCTGTGTATTTGCGTTTGACATTATGTCTTGTAATTTGGTAGGTAGAGCATTGGTTGCATTCAAAACAAGAGAAGCAGCAGAAAGGGTCAGTAAAAAGCTGACTGAGGGATGCTTAATGATGTCAAATCAGAGGTATTTATATTCAAGGTTGTTTTGGCAATAAATATTGAACACACTTGAGTGTCCTTTTGAATTTTAGGATGAGTATTCAAAGCGGTTTGTTTGCTTAGTTAGATTGGTTAGAATAACATCTTCAAATTTTTTTTTGGCAAAGCTACTTCCTAAATGCTTCCACATGGTACTGTTTTGGTACTTATGAAAAATGTAGTAGACTTGTATTGGTTTTAGATGATTCGTGAAATATCGAGTTCCAAACCTACTTTCCTGGGAACACCAATGCAGATTTTGTTTTTCCTTTATTGTGTAAACTGAATTCAGTACATGACACCAAATATACAGGACTGTTCCCATCCAAAGCAGTTCTAATTTAATATTGTGTCGATGCTTTCCAATCTCTTGCCATTCAGAAAATTTATTCTGATCATTTGATTCTCTTGTGAGTTGTTGAACATTAAGACTTGGACTTAATAAGACTTGGTCCATATCTTCTAATCTGGCTGGTGGGGTGGGGTTTTGCGGCGAACTAGAATGATCCTCTTGTGAGTTGTTGAACATTAAGAGTTGGACTTAATAATACTTGGTCCATATCTTCTAATCCGACTGGTGGGATGGAGTTTTGCGGCGAACTAGCCATTTCTTGTGATGAAATCTTGCTCAGAATAGATTGATATTGGTTTGGACTTGGTTTACAGGAAATCCTATTACTTGTGACTATCCTGCTTTTTGTTTATTTATCTGTCTTCTTTTTTTCTGGTCTCCCTGCTTCCTTCTTTTCAACTTGGTGGTTATCATAAGCAATGTTTCGTACCCAGCGAAGCAACTGGGTACAAAATGTTTACTTTTGATATTGCTTTTTTGTCATGAACAATCGTATGGTGAAAGACCTCGGGGAAGGTTTCTATTTTATCACTACAAAAACTTAAGAGAAGTTGTTGGGGATGATTGGTATGTTCTATCATCTTTTGTATATACATTAGTGTCTTTTTGTTCTTACCTTACCTTACTTTCTTATCTGGAGAAACTAGAATATTAATATATAAATTGAGGTGTTATTACATGTTTGGACAAATACCTAGGTAGCCCCTTCAAGTTAGTACGATTTGTCAGTTAGACACTCCTACTTAAGTTGTTACCATTTGAAGACCTGTGTTTTAGAGAAGTGTGTTTGTGAACACTTGTGTCCACAAGACAAAAACAAGTGAAATACATGTGTCCGATAGTCTTCAGCCAACTTGCATGCACCTCGACTAATTTCACTGGGTACCTTTTACCTCCTACCAACACATGTATTGGGTTACTTAGTCCACCAAGGCTTAGGTAGATGGGAAAAATCACAAAGTAATTTTTTATCTGTCAAGATATATGTCGGGATATTAACCTGAAACCTCATGGATCTCCCTACTACATTGATTACTAGGCCACGTACACCGTATTTTAAAAAGAAATACTATCGTTATCACTCCTTAGTCATCCGACAGTTTACAATAGTAGTTATTTCTTTCTAGTAGTTATTAGTTGTTTCTTCTAGTAGTAGTTATTTCCCTGTTGTAGTGCAGCTTTTCATTCCAGTAATGTTAGGAATTATTCAAGTTTTTGAGTACTTCAAACTCAAGAGATTACAGGTTCTCTCTTAACGAACCAACACCATAGGTCGTAGGAAGAAAATGTCTGATTTCATATTGTAGTGTCCCATAACTAGATCCATATCAGGGGACCGCAACAACTTGGTATCAAAGATAAGAGATGGGAGTTGTGGGAGACCAAGTTCAACATCAATTTGCTCAATTGGTGAACTTGTTCTAAGAAGAACGTGCAACCAATTTGGCCTGACAAGAAGCAATACATGCTCGTTTGGATGCACTCACAAAGGATTTAGCAAATTCTAAGGTCGTTTATGATTCAACTGAACATACCAGTCAAGTCAGAATTGTGGTTGGAAGGGTAAAGATAGAGTGGCAGGACGGTCAGGATCAGAAGTAGGAGGAAATTTCATCATTCCTCTACATACAAAGTTGGATTTCTCACGATTTAATTTAATGGCTAAGAGGACCCTTTGGGATGGTTGAACATATGTGAACACTTCTTTCGACACCAACAAACTCTAGAAGAAGAAAATGTCGGACTTGCTTCTTTTCATTTGGAGGGCAATGCACAACTTTGGTTTCGTCAACTAGAGATAGATATGCCTCAACCATCTTGGGATGAATTCAAACGTCAATATAACCTTTGCTTTGGGCCACCAATCAGAAGTCAGAATTTGGAAGAATTGGCTAAGTTATGCTAGATCGGGTTTGTGGTAGATTACCAAGAAAAGTTTGAGCAGTTAATTTCGCGGGCTGATACACTCGGTCGCAAAAAAATGAACTTTATATCAGCGATCTTACTAATTATATAGCAATTGAGGTTGAGTTGCATAATCCTCCAGATTTGGCTACGGCGATGAGTCTATCCCGACTTTATGAACGCAAGGAACAGCCCATTATTCGCAATTGTTAGATGCTTACAAATCCAAGACAATAGATTTCTCACCTTAACAACATACCTAATTTTTGAAGAAACTGACCAAATCTGAAATGGAGGAAAAGATAACTTAAGGGACTTTGTTTCAAGAAACTTTTCGCGATTGACTATAGATGATGAGGAAGAATTCGTTGGAAAGGGGGAAATTACTAATATTTTCCACACTTGGTGCGTGAGGACAAGCACGATTTGAAGGAGGAGAGTAATGTTATCACTCCTCAGTCATCCAACAGTTCACAACATTAGTTATTTCTTTCTAGTGGTATTTGTTGTTTCTTCTAGTAGTAGTTATTTTCCTGTTGTAGTGCAGTTTTTCATTCCGGTAATGTTAGGAAGTTTTGTCCTAGTTTTTAGGGGTAGTTATCTTATAAGTTTTGTATCTAAACTCTCTGTTAATGCTATTAAATCTAAGCAGAAAATTATTCAAGTTTTTGAGTACTACTTCAAACTCAAGAGATTGTAGGTTCTCTCTTAACGAATTAGCACATTAAGTTGTAGGAAGAAAATTTCTTATTTCATATTGCAGCGTCCCATAATTTGAGAATTTCTTGGGGAAGGATAATGATGATAGTTGGTCATGTTCCTTTCCTCTTTTTTTTTTTTTGGATAAAGGATGATAGTTAGTCAAGTTATTAGTGTAGGTTGTATTTTTCGAGAGAACCTGCTACCAGCTAAACATTTTTGGCTGGGAGGATTCCTGTTACATAAAAGCTTCTTTAATGCACAGGCCGCTTGTTGCTAGCTTTGTAACTCTTCCGAAAATGGAAGGAAACACTCCATCATTTGCTGGGCATCTATGTGTTGACAAATTAAGACTACAATCGCAGCGGGAAATGGTCAGTCTCTCTCCCATCCACTCTGTATCCCCCACCTGAAGAAAGGACTTGCTTAATGTGTTCGGTCATGTTTATCTAGCCTAATAAATCATCTTTGTTATTCAGAAAGAAGCAGTTTCTACTTCTCATTGTTCTCAGCCCAACACCATAGAGCATGAAATGGGCATTGAGTGGCGCTTACTGCAATCAAGATCTGACAGCTGGTGGAATCGGCTATATAAGGTCTGAAACTAGTTTGTGGTTTTCCAAGTTTGGATCAGCATTGCTCTTCTTGTATTTTACACAACATTCTGATAACCCTCTTTAATTGTTTGTTCTAGCAACAAAAAGAGGAACTAAGAAAAATAGTGTCAGAACTCAAGAGAAAATGAGAATCAAGCTGCAGTTTTGTACATAGTCTACTTCTGGTTAGTACACATTCCTGCCATGTAGTTTGTTGTACTTATCTTGTTCTTTTATTGAGGGATTTTGTGAATTATTTATAACTTAGGATATACAAAATGTTATGGAGGTTGCGGTATATGAATTTGAAGGTTGTCACATCATGATGGCACCATTTCAAACATTATCTTATCTGAATATTAACTACATATGAAGATAAGAGACAGTGTTTGTCCATGAAACAAGCGTACCAGATGAAAGTGGTTGATCTTTGAAGAATAAATGTGGTGACTAAAACTTTAAAGCTCTCTGTTGTAAAAATGGATAGTACTATGGGTCAAGAGTGGCATCAGTATGTAGGATCAGCTGTTTGTGAGAAGGAGAATGTCAATAGAGAATTCATGGTATATGCTAAAGATTTATTTTTCCACATTTTAACTCTTTTGCATAAGATAAGCATTGCACTAATTTTCTTTTTTCCCCTCATATTTGAGCATTATTAATTTATTATTTCTTTGTCTTCGCTCACAACTGGATTGTCAATAAAGAAGGTAGTATTTTAATAAAGCTGTCATAAAAGTAACGTTAGATTTACACTCTTGGCCCCAAATTTATAATGTAGTGCTGTTTTTTCTTCTGTTGTTGGATGAATGCTGTGGAGAATTACATTAGATAAAGTGTGCACCGTACTACTGTTTTTAATGGGCTTATACTTTATCTAAACCATACTACTGTTTCTTTTCTTGTTTTCTTATTAGTTGTTTTTTATGTTTGAAAGTACAGATTTCTGACTTCTTGGACCTGACTTCTGGTAATGGTGTTCTTCCAATAAGTTCATTGGAGTTATGCAAGTCTTTTGTTCGATTGACACATCTGGTGGTTAGGATCTCTCTCTACTTTATTTAACCTTAAAGCTGTATTCTATGCAAGGGTTCTTTTCTTTTACACCAAAGATGGAGTAAAATTATCTAGTTCCATTAAATGTTATTGAAGTGAGGATAGGAACTATTACTCCTAGCTTTTCATGATGTGGTCTGTCATGTGATAAAAATACTATATTGAAGAGAGAAAAAGGACCCTTCCTCCTAGTTTTTCATGGGTCATTCTGCAAATCAGCTCTTTGTTTTGGCCAAGTCTTTTGGGGTACTTTGATTCTATTTTCAGCACACTGGAGTCCTGTGTTTTCTCGCCCAGGGATTAGGTCTAATGGTAAGAATACAACGCGTGATGTGTGGGTTAGGCATTTGTCACGAGTTTGAATCTTGTTGCAATTTGAAGCCTGGTATATGAGTGGAGAAGGGTAGAGGGGTGGTCCTTTTATCCACCGAGTTCGTACCATGTGCTTGCTAGCCCCTAAAGATTTCCCGTTTATCAAACTAATGCCTTGTATTTTGCCATTAACTCGTCCCTGAAGGATTGCTAGTGACTAGTATTACTTTCAGGTATTCGGTATGTGATGCACTAAATCTAATTTACCATTATTTGTTACATGCGTTTAAATGACTATTTGTGTTATATGCATGTTGATTGAAACCTCACATGCTGCTCAACTTGCTTATAAATATGTGGTCATGCCAAGCATGAAAACTGAGCTGGAATGGATGATGTGCTTGCCAGTTGGACAAAATTAGCAAATATTTAACTGATTTGGTGATTTTTGGCTCGACAGGTTCGGGGATAGATGACTAGTAGACACTCATTCCTCCAAGCGTCTTGGCAATTTTTGGATGTACCACAATCCTCCCTACCTTCCTGGGTGACCTCAATCTCATAGTTGGGGCAATTGATTAATGTCAAAGTCACAAAGTTTAGCTTGCAGCAATATACATATTTTTATCAGAAATTTTGCTCCATGAATCGCTCTGGCATAATGTTTTGTTCAGCATATCTTTAAATTGAAAATAGAATCTCTTATCTTTGGTTCTTAATTAGGGTCAGCAAATGGAACTAAACATTTTCCCATTGAACGAGCATTGGATTCAATTGTTTAAATGGTATTAAGTTTGAACGTGCACGTAATATGATTAAACTATTTTACCTCCGTTTTTGGCCAAAATACTTTCTTAGAAGTGAACCGAGTGCCCGGGTCCACCAAATATAAGGACAATGAGGAGGGGCGCGCCAACAAAATTTAGGAAAATCAACAATACACAATCTCACGAAGCACGCATTTAGGGTTTTAAGACCCTGAGGCACAAAAACACCATGTTGGTCAGGTAGAATAATCAGGTTGTTTCCAATGTACTAGCTAAATTTGTCAGTTTTTTGAGCGCTGGTAGGATATATAACTGCGTTTCATTACCTTTTGATGTCAAACAAGGGATATCTGTCATGAGGAGGTAATGAGTTCTGGTAGCTACACCTCTAAAAATATTCATAAGTTAATACTCATGAAATAATTGGGAAAATACTATATAAATATGATGCGCTAGGTGATTATGGATGGTTCTACAAAATTTTTGTACAAGTATTATTTATAAGATATTCATAAGCTAATGTCCACAAAAAATTGAGAAAAAGAATCAAATTTCTATTTCATGACCTCTAAATTCTAAAAAAATAATATGAATTTCTATAAAAGCTATGAGTATCATTCACTAGGTAATTATGGATGGTCAAGCCAAATATGCAGTCAAGAGTTCGCCCTTGGGGATAAATGCACGCCATTAAAAAGGTCGTCACAGAAGCTCACAAAAAAATTTGGTCCAAAATTTGTCGGGATCACATATCACTTAAAATTCATGGACAATAGCACACGTAAAACGATAAATTTGGTATATTCTGCTCTAGGCCTTGTTTGAACTTGAAAATGCGAACGTTTGCCCCTCGAGACCAACACATGCTATCAAGGTCTTCACGGATGCCCACAAAAACTTTCAGCCAAAAACCTATTGGGATCACATATCTCCCAAAATTCATGGACAATAGCACACATAAAACAATAAATTTGGTTTTTTCTGCTCTAGGCCTCATTTGAACTTGAAAATGCGGACGTTCTATCCTCGGGACCAACACACGCCATCAATAAGGTCTTCACGGATGCCCACAAAAAATTTCAGCCAAAACCCCGTCAGGATCACATATCACCCAAAATTCTTGGACTATAGCACACGTAAAATGGAAAATTCAATATTTCCCGCTCTGGGTCTCGTTTGAACTTGAAAATGCAATGTTTGCCCCTTGGGATTAATGCGTTTACCTGCTCTGGGGCTCGTTTGACATTGAAAATGGGCCGTTTTGGCCGGGAGAGCCAACAGACTCCATAACTAATGTAACACCCCGTACAAACTAGTAAGACCTAGCTAAGGCACGACTAAATCTAGTAGGTTGAACTAGAGACTCACATGTTAGTTTATAGTTGAAAACTTGTTTAAATGAGGAAAAATGGCTATTGAAGCTAGTTTGGTGATTTTAGAGGTCAAACGTCAAGAAACGACCATGACGTCCGGAAACTAGTAGACTAAACGAGAGCTAAGTTTGAGGGTTAGAGCCAAGGAAGAGGACTAGGGCAGTCCACTCTTTCATGGACACTGCCTCACCTTCCACGACCACCACCATGACTCGTGGTGTGGCTCGTGGTAGGCTAGGCAGTGGCTAAACAAAGGCTGCCCAAAAACAACCCCTCCACACGAGCCATTTCACGGCTCGTGGTGATGACCACAGCTCGTGGGAAGGCTCGTGGTGGTGCCTTAGATTTTTGGGGGTTAAGGGGAAGGTTTCCTAGATATTGTATCATGACCACGAGAGGCACCACGGCTTATGGAGCCTCACGTGAAGGGCTTTCCATTAGACTTAGAGTATAGGGTCAACTTCAAATGGTCATATCTCTTAGCTCAAAATCAATTAGGTGTGTCATGACCTATAGAACTAAAGGTTTCTGAGTCCTCTTTCCAACGCCACCGAGTTTTCCCAATTCCGATCTCGGAGTAAAAAGTTATCTCCGAAATAGTGAAGCACTGTCAGGTTGAAAAATCTTCACGACCCATTTCACGGGCCGTGGTGATGATCATGGTCTGTAAAGGCTCCGGTGATGTCATTTCGGCAGTTTCCAGCAAGTAACTTATTGGGTCTTTTCCCAATTATTTTAACTCAAGGATATCTCGTTTTTCCAAAGCCTAGGACCCCTATTTAAGTCATTTTAACCCCAAAACTCACCCAATTAAATCAATTATTCCAAGACCCTAATAAAACCCCAACTCTTTTTCTCTCCCAAAAAGTCTTCTCTCACAACCCTCCATTGAAGAACATGGAGGGAGATCAACTAGGGCTTGAATATGGAAGCTTTTCATCACGAAATTTATGGGATTCTAAGGCTAAGGTAAGGGAGTCCTTTATTCTTGGTTAGCTATCACCAAGAAGCCCTTTCAACTAAGTTTTCAAAGATCCCCAATTTCTAGGTTTTCAATCAAATTCGTGGGTCTCTTTCTAAAATCGATTCCATTGATCTCAAGCTAATTCGTAATTTTGGATCACCAAAAAATCCATGGACTATAGCACACAAAAATCGACAAAATGGGGGGTTTACCTGCTCCAGGGTTCGTTTGACATTGAAAATGGGCCGTTTTGGCCGTGAGGGCCAACTAGCTCCAAAGCGAAGGTCTTTACGGACGTCCAAGAAAAGTTTCAGAAAAAATGAGGTCGAAATTTTGGATCACCAAAAAATCCATGGATTATAGCACGAGAAAATCAGAAAAATAGAGTGATTACCTGCTCCGGAGCTCGTTTTCCCTTGAAAATGGGCCAGTTTGGCCGTGAGGACCAACTGGATCCATAACTAAGGTCTTAACGGACGTCCATGAAAAATTTAGGCAAAAATGAGGTAGGGATTCCGGATCACCAAAAAATCCATGGACTATAGCACACAAAAATCGACAAAATAGGGGGGATTACCTGCTTCGGAGCTCGTTTGAACTTGAAAATGGGTTGTTTTGGCCGTGAGGGTCAATTGGCTCCATAGCTAAGGTCTTAATGAACTTCCATGAAAAATTTTTGGCAAAAATGAGGTCAAAATTTCGGATCACCAAAAAATCCATGGACTGTAGCATACGAAAATTGGCAAAATGGGGGATTTACCTGCTGCAGGGATCGTTTGTCCTTGAAAATGGGTCGTTCTTGACGTGAGGGACAACTGGATCCATAACTAAGGTCTTAACGGACGTCCAAGAAATTTTTTGGAAAAATTGAGGTCAGAATTCCGGATCACCAAAAAATCCATGGACTATGTCACACGAAAATCAACAAAATGGGGGGTTTACCTGCTCCAGGGATCGTTTAACCTTGAAAATAGACAGTTTTGGCCGTGAGGGCCAACTGACTCCATAGCTAAGGCCTTAACAGATGTCCGTGAAAAATTTCAGCCAAATTGAGGTCGAAATTTCAGATCACCAAAAAATTCCTGGACTATAGCACACGAAAATCGGCAAAATGCGGGGTTTACCTACTCCGGGGATCTTTGACCTTTAAAATGGGCCGTTGTTGCCGTGAGGGACAACTAGATCCATAACTAAGGTCTTAACGAACGTCCAAGAAAAATTTTGGAAAAAATGAGGTCGGAATTTCGGATCACCAAAAATCCATGGACTATAGCACACAAAAATCAGCAAAATGGGGGATTTACCTGCTCCGGGGATCGTTTGACCTTGAAAAAGGACCGTTTTGGCCGTGAGGACCAACCGACTCCATCAGTAGGGCTCGTTTGACCTTGAAAATGGGTCATTTTGGCCGTGAGGCCAACTAGCTCCATAGATAAGGTATTAACGGACGTCCAGGTAAAATTTTGGCAAAAATGAGGTCGGAATTCCGGATCACCAAAAAATATGTGGAGTATAGCACACGAAAATCGGTAAAATGGGATGTTTACCTGCTCTAGGGCTCGTTTGACCTTGAAAATGGGTCATTTTGGCCGTGAGGCCAACTAGCTCCATAGATAAGGTATTAACGGACGTCTAGGTAAAATTTTGGCAAAAATGA